TGTGGCATCTCTTCCTTATCCCAAATTAACTGAATAAGCTTATGGATCCTCATATGCAACCCTTTGCCACCTGCTTTAATTAATTCTGCTGGAATCTGATCAATACCTGGAGATTTATAACTTTATAACTTTTCAACTTCCCAATGGCTAGTTCAACTTCATCTAAACTAGGTTCTGGCACCAACAGTTCAGCTGTATGTATTTTAATCTGTCTAATATCACCAGTCTCATGAACATTTAAGAGCTCGCCCATATATGGAAGACTGCTCCACATTACATGACCATATATGGGAGACATCTGCATGCATTGTTCACGCAGTTGGGGAGTGATCCATACCACTGTGTCGTCCCTAACATTCCAATGGCCAACCCGTGGTTCACACCAGATGTGGGGCAACAACGTTTAATATTGACAAGTTTAAAAACTTGGGGTCCACATAAGGGTGGGAAGGGGTGAAGTTTTCATCCCCATGGGTACGGAAATTACAGGTAAGCGATGGTCAGTGGTTATTGTGTTATTCTGTGCGTCAAATCTCCTTTTCAATGTTCATTCGGAGGTTTTACATTCCAATCCTCAAGTTAACCATCTACAACAAATGTGCATCTTATTCACCGATAGTGGGCCAAATTACGTGGTCTGGTTCGGCAATTATCAACTACCACACTAAAAGAACAAGTTACAAGTTAAGAATTACACAAGACATCAAGTTGTAAAATAAAAATGGAACTTTCACCCATCCAAATGGTCATTGTAGGTTACAATGAATTTTCACAGGTAAGCAAATTATGCAACATTGTTCTACTTTAGTCTCGGTTTCTCCGGATAATGTTATATGTAGATATATTGGATTGTCTTCTTATCACTACCGCAGCTGAAACTTCCCGGGCTGAGCGAACTACACCTGCTTGGCTGCCTGGGGGCAGCTCGTTGAGGCTGCCCCTGATACAGTTGCTGTCTCCATTCTGTTGGGAGCAGCAGGCCACCCCGTACTTCACACCAGTTGTGGGGCAACGACGTGTAATATTGACAAGTTTGAAAACTTGGGTACACATAAGGGTGGGAAGGGGTCCTGGCACAACAATATATTACATAGTGTCCATATTCCTGTGATTTGTGTAATATATCTTTCCTTTGTCAGATTTATCTACAGAGACATCATTGGAGAGAGAGTGGAGAACATCCCTAATCTTGTCAGATATAAGATATTGTGATGTGGCACTAAATGGGCATATGGCTCGCACTGGAGGGGTGGGCCCCCCTACTCCTCTCCTTGACTAGTGGATGTGGGATATGGGTGTGGTCATCACAGAATGTCCCAGGATGTAGTGTTCCCTCGACAAAAGGAAGGTTCAGGAAAGGGAACATAGGAGTTCCTTAGCCTGGAAAGTTCGAAGAAGAGACTCGAGTGCTGGTGGTCTGGCGTGGGTCCACCGTGGCCCAGTGTGGAACAGGAAATTGAACAGTAGCAGACAGTGGACAGTGAGGGATCTAGCGAGATAGTGAGCTAGTGAGTGCGAGAAGACATCGATCAGTCCAGTGTGGTGCTGAGAGCTGAGGGCTGCGTTGTGAAGAGTTTCAAGTTTGGAGACCGGAACAGCTCAACAGACAGTATTCGGGGAGTTTGTGTCACGTACTTGAAGAGTTAGTCTTAGCAACGGTTTTGTCCAATTTTCCTGTGTGTAGACTACCATAACTTGATTGTTAAGTAAATCACGGTTCACCTAGAGCCTAAGTAGTAGTCGTTGTCATCATCACAATATTTTTCTGCTTAAAGTTTCTGAATAAATGTCATCTCATGCATGTGTGCAGTGTGTAAGAGTATGTTTCAGGATCGTTCATTTCTTGACTGTTAAGACATATTTGGAACAGAAATTATATTTTGCTATTTGATTGCTTTGTTCAGTAACATACACTAGATTTTACTTGTTTATAAATATTTGAAATATGTAGTTATTACTGTACATAAGTTATTGTAAAACTGAAGAGATGGAACACAGGTCTTTTCCAGAAAAATTATGAGATTTAAACTGGCCTCTAGATACGTCAACTAAATAATCATCCAACGTACCCATCCAAACCTTAAAAGAAACTATACAGACAAACAGTGAGATTCACACATTTTTGAAAAGACCTGGGAACATGTGGGGATCAAAACAATGATCTCACTCTCACATCTTTATCATCTAGCAGCCAAGGTCAGTCTGCAGTTGCTTTTTATTTGTGGTGTTAGGGTATTTGTTTACTTGTCATCCAGATTTTCAAGGCAGTAAGCACATCTAAAATTTCAGCCAGTCTATTGCAGACTACAGGGTGCTACATCTCTGAAGACGGTCAATTTCATATTAGCTGTTTTGAGAATGTAAGATCTCACCATTTGTTGCCCTGGTCCAGCTTCACTAATCAAAAAACTCTCTTTTAAGGTCACTTTCTATTATGTAGTCCTTTGATTTATGGTTTATGTAACAACAGTCAATTGCTCAGGCTTTATAGTGTCAAGTGATATGATAATTAATAATAAATTACAAACGAAATGGAACAAACCGGTCATAGCGTGATTGAATGTTCTAACTTGGAATTTGTTTTGTTGGAGTAAGAACCTATTTGCTTAATATTGGCAAAATGAAAATTTTTTCAGAGGCAAAGAAGAAAGGGATAAAAAGTAGATAAATACAGGTGATTGTACCTCATAGAAACAATGATAAAATGGGCAACGACAGTCAGTACCAGAATGGGAGTCCATTGTTTTTACCATTAAGATATGAATACAACAGTATGGAACAATGTTTATATTCCATAGATCTTTCACAGCACAAGCCAAGGATGTGGAATACATCTTAATATTAATACCAACACTTTGTACAAATATGACTGCATAGTTGGAGCAACCATTTACTATGTATCATAAGTTTCAACTGAAATAAATTCTAGTGTGGAAGGAGTGACAAAAAATAGAATCTTACAGTGTGGGCTTAAACACTGAATTTAATGTTACATTAATTTAACTTTTAATGCCAAAAGGAGGAGTAATGGTTACTTGATCCTTGCCTAACAAGCACAATTCACTTAAATCCTTGCAGTGTTGAATATTTATCTAAAATAAATTGTTTGTGTGCATGATTTTATATATTTTAGGTAAGCACACTTCTGGTAACAGTAGTTTTGTATTTGACATATGAATGTCATCTGTGGGCCTTATGTTTATAACATCTCCATATATTCTCATCACCCTGATGATGGAGGCAACAAGGACCTCGGAAACGTTGGTAAACTTCTGCCAGACTATGCTGTGCTACAACCCATAATGATACCTTAACCATATTTTCAAAACGTAAGACAGTGATGCATGTACCAATTTGTTTGCAAGGAGAAGTATATGAAACTTATTAAATAGTTATTAAAATTATATATGGGGGGGGGGGGCAGAAATCTGTTGTTATGTTTTTGAACGTTGAGTACTTTTCCCCCCGCAATTTTATGGATTTACCAGTGCCCTAGAAATCTTGGAGGTAGAAACCGATTAATATTTTTGCGAATTTTGAGTGTGCTTAACAAATTTTTGAGGAGCCATTTTCGTTACTTTGTGAAAATCTTACGCATAATAAAATGAAGGATTTGAATATCCCTAGTAAAATTATTGTCTCAGGAAAGCAGAGTTTTTAAAATCTGCACCCACCCGATGTCATTCAGTTCAGAAATCCAATCTGCAGTGACTACATTGATATCATAGCCTTACGTTAAATAGCACAGGCGATTAACGAGCTGGTATACTGACCAGTGTCCTGAGTACACAAACCAGAGTTCATTTACGTGGGGTGTAAATTACATCTCGTGGGATGTGTGTTTATCACAAATTTGTCGTCTTCAAGAACAGATGGCTGTAGTACAAAGCAAAACCATACCTATGCAAGATTTCTCTTCGGGCGGAGTTTCGTCGACTTTCTTTTCAGTGCACAAGACAAATGCCGGAAGACAACCGACCTTCTCGTTCCTTTAAATTTAGACTTTGTGATGGTCATTATTCACACCCTCATCAGCAATAGAAGAAAGGGAGGGAGAAATAAGTAAATATGAACGAACAAGACTTGTAGGAGCTGTGACGGACAGCTAATGCAGTAGTTTCTTTTATGATGCTGTGCCAACTGTTGGTGTTATTGTCGTGTTATTATTAATGATGGAAATGAGATGTATATGTACACAATCCATTCGTCCCCTCGTTTCCTCTGTAAACTCTGGTGGTTGCTATGAGGCCATTAATACATAATGCACAGCGCAGATAATCATTTACGGTTTAAACCCTTCAAATCGAAACTCGTCTAAATAATATTTACAGATTAAGATCGTATTCAAACTTCACAATCAAAAAATTAGCTGGTAAATGTCGTTTAAGGAAATAATCCTTGTTTATACCGAGAATCATGCAAATCCCATAAATAAAGAAATAGTTATTGATTATTAAAGCATTCAATATAGGATATTTTTCGTAGAATGAAACAATAAAGATATGTCCACCGCATTAAATATTTAAACTTGTTTTGAGTCTCACAGCGATAACTAATGGACCGCTGGAGCTAAGAATATTTAATTTGGTTTCAAGGGAAATTATGAGAATAATAGCAAATTACGTATGATCATTGTTCACAAGTTAACGATTATAAACATGGCACCGGTGCGAACGTGTAAAATTATGTGCGAGAAATTTCTTGAATTCAGAACTTAAAAATTTCTTATTCTCAGATAGAGGGAGGGGAGGGGGGATATTTCGTGTTGACGCTGATAATTGTGGTGATAATAAACTATGAACCCTAATAACTGAAAAAATTCGACTCACAAACTCGACACATTAACTTGTATGCTAATTTGCTTTTTTATTGCTGGATTACATAAATCTATATTTACCTTATTATAAACTGAACACATGATATAGAGGACAGAAGTCAAGCCTACAGTAGAGACGTAGAATTTATGAGACAGCCCGAAACAATTCTTTCACTGTAAAAGTGCAAAAAATTCAAAATTGTCAGAGAATGCATGAGGTGAATTCGAAATTGGATACCTCATTTCCATTTGCTGAAAATGTTCTGATCGTCGAGAAAAGGTGGAACATTTCGTGCGCTCTCATACGCCACTGCCTTTGCCTTTACCTAACCTCAACCCTTGGACGTTCGTCCTCCGGTGCGTCCTACAACCTGCCTGTGTTCTTACAAGTTTTGCTTCTTCTATCTGCAGACTTGGCTTTATGTGGAGGGCAATGGAGAGAGTCCAGGAAGACGAGTATTTTGTCCACGCCCGCCAGGCGGACGCGGAACGCAAGAAGAAATATCCCGGTAAGTAATTAATTCTCTTTTAATGTCAACAAGCAGCAGAAGGATTCCAAAAAAATGTACCCGAGAATTTTGAGAAACATCACCGATTTTGATTTATTTGGGATTGATTGCTAGCGATTTAAGTAAGAGAAATTTTGATTAGTATTTATTTTCTCCAAAACCTTTTCATCTACTTACGAGTCATGGCACCAGAACCCATATATCGAGATGTTATAATATTAAAATGGGAGGAACTTAAACATTTAATTTTGAAATTAGATATGATCAAAAGACATTTTACTTTTCCTGTCTTTCTGTAATACATGATTTATGAATGTCGCTGATTTTCCTTCTCTGATGTCAAATCACGCGATCAGAAACAACCGTTTTCGGAATACTGTGACCTGAATGTCATTCTTTCTGTTTTCAGATTACGTCTACATCCCTCAGGAGGCCCGCATGCAGGAGCTTCTTCGGCAGCAGGCCCTTGGTAAAGTCCGAGATAGGCAGGAAGGTTTGCAATTGAATGGGGCACATCAGCTATTGGCATATGCTGATGATGTTAATTTATTGGGGGATGATATGAATACAATAAAGAGGAACGCAGAAGTTTTACTAGAGGCTAGTAGACAGGTGGGGCTAGAAGTAAATTCAGAAAAAAACTAAGTACATGTTAGTATCTCGTCATCAGAAGACAGGCGGGCAGAATCGTCTTAGGCTGGCTAATAAATCCTTTTGAAAGTGTTGCAAAGTTCAAATATTTGGGAACAACAATAACAAATCTAAATGATACTCATGAGGAAGTTAGGAAGAGACCAAATTCCGGAAATGCCTGCTACTTCTCAGTTCAAAATATTTTGTCTTCCTATCTGATTTCTAAAAACCTGAAAATTAAAGTTTACAAAACAATAATCTTGCCTGTTGTTTTGTATGGGTGCGAAACATGGTCTCTCACTCAGAGGGAGGAACACAGGTTGCAGGTGTTTGAGAATCGGGTGTTGGGGAGGATATTTGGGCCTAAGAGGGAAGACGATGGGGCGTGGAGAAAACTGCACAATGACGAGCTTAAAAATCTGTACTGCTCCCCCAGTATTGTGAGGGTGATTAAGTCGAGCAGAGTGAGATGGGCGGGACATGTAGCGTGCATGGATGGGACAAGAGGTGTGCACTGGGTACTGGTTGGGAAACCTGAAGGGAAGAGACCGCTGGGGAGACCTTGACGTAGATGGGAGGATAATCTCAGGCGGGATCTATGGGAGATAGGAGTTGAAGGAAACTGGATTTTGTTGGCCCAGGACAGGGTCCGGTGGAGGGCTTTGGTTAATTCGGTGATGAACCTTCGGATTCGGTAAGCCATCTAGTTAGTTAGTTAAAACTATAAACTTAGCCATTCATTGTAACGTATATGATGGCGTATACACGGACAAAAATTTAAGAGTGTAATTAAACCTCTGACGTCTTCCTCGTGGTTTGTTTCGTCTCGGGACGCCAATATAAGATCGGTTGGAAATCAGCAAGTTTAAAAAATCGTCAAAAAATCATCCTCCTCCGATTCCCACATATGAACAACTGAGTTTGAGATAATTAAAATGTCACAGCTGTTAACAAGGCGATCAGGTTTAATGAATTTACATTAAGGTATTCCAGAAAAATTTAAGCTTTAATGAAATATTTGCCTTGCATCAAAATCTCGTTCTTTAAACAGGTGACTTAATCGTGAGTTCATCACATTACCAACAAATTTCTTTTCAAGGGTTTGTAACCGTCCACTGCTCGTGGCCTCGTAACAGCTGCCTTATCAGGGTGTAGGATTTTTAGGGGCTAGCTAGTCGGGATGTAGCTCTTGTCTCAGGTCGTGTTAACGGCCTGATCACACCAGCCAATAATGATTCGGATTGAAGTTGGAAGGCACTACTATTTATTTGTATACAATTTACCGCTTCCTGCGTGTTTCTAGCACCTTCGCTAACGCGACTTAAAACAAGAGTGAGTCTACCCAATTCTCCTCGGCGCCAGGTGCTTGGTGCGAAACACGCCCCGCTCTCATGACAGAGAGAGACCTCTCACGGACCGCACAACACGATCCTTCACACTTCCTCCTAAAAGCACTTCTCTCTCTGTCGTAGGCGGAGTCGAGATCGGATGTTAACCAGATGGCATAAACCCGACTTCTAGCTCTTAGGGCTGAAGTCCCTCCTTGTTCTCTGCAAGTGGTGCTAAAATCTTACAGAAGGGTTTTGACATACTGGAAACACACAGAAACAAATAACAAAACAAAACTAATTCCAGATGAGCGGTTACAGGTTGCCGCAAGCCGTGGTTACAATCGACCGATGGCAAGCAAACGGGATCTGCTTCCAGAAGAACATTTCTTTAAAACTGTGACGCAAAATGTTGCTGCAGGTTAAAACTGTCATAACAAAAAGGTTCTTGCACCGTATTATATTTTTTACTACCACTCAAACAACGTACACCATAAATTGTCTTCAAGGACGCCCTTCGATCGAGTCTCAGAGTGAGCTCGTACTTTCAGCAAAACTGCGATGTCGTCTCGTGTTCTGCTCGTAACACGTGAATAATGCGATGCTGATGTGTCCGTTTACCTGTTGCGATGTCAGACATTTGTCAGGACAGACAGACGGCGTGTAAAAGGCGTTCTCTCGAGAGTAACACACAGACTTGTTCACTAACCACGACCTCTCGACATGAACAACAACGCGCCTGCGTGTATAGGCAGCCGTGACGTGCAATGGCGTGGGAGAGGCAACAGACAAGGAACCGCAAACCCAAGGCCCTTCCTTCAGACGTAATTTCCCAGGGGCAGGAGTTCGTAGCTCACCATCGCATTTCCTACTTCGCTAATTTTGTTTATCGCTTCCAACAAGTTTCTTTTCCTCCAATCTCGAGCTACTTGAGTTACGAAAGATACGAACGTTTCGGTGGAACATGCTGCCTCCATCTTGAAACCCTGAAGATGGAGGCAGTATATTCCGCCGATATGTTATCTGCCTCCAAGTCCAAGCTACGTTACAATCCACAACAACAGCACGAAGTCTTCACCGCCGTCAGAACCTCAAATGCCACCAATAAATCTGATTTCTTTATTCATTGTTCACATGTAATTGTACACTTTATTTTCGTAAATCGTGATTTTCCGGGGGGTGGCCCATGCAAGAGGAACCCCAAAACGCACATTTTAACGGAGCCTCGTATTCGAAATTGCATTCGAAGAGCTCCGTCGCTTCCGGGTCCAATCTTCTGGGACTTTAATACAGTAACACAGTTTCCCAGGCTTTTTATATTGCAATACATTTTAATTATTCTTTTTTGTTCTGGGCCCCGCAAGGAGTTTCCTCCCTTGTGGGTTCCTAACAAACACGTTTTAATTTATTTCTATTCGACGCGTGCTATATGCCCCGCCCATCCCTCCATTCCATAAGGCGACAAACAAAAATGTTTAATCTCCTCCGCCATTGCGTCTCTCCTAGATCATGATAGTCGCCTCCACTTTGATCCCTGTTATTTCAAGATAATTCGCATCGACTGAGTGAGATTTCGGGTTCTCACGGCGAGAAGTGTGAAGATGGCTGTCGTCTGTCTGGCCGTACTTTGCCACCATCAGCGCACTGAAGATGGAGGCAGCAAGTACCACAGAAGAGTCTTTAAACTGATACCAAATTAACCCGGCGCATCGATCCACAAGATAACCATTTGACCCCCAAAAAAGGCGGGATCACTTTGGCTGATGGTCAAACAAGACTGATTTTTTTTAGGGGAAGGGGGGAACTGGAGTTGAAAGAAGTTTCAATGCGGGGAAGTGTAGGACTTTCTTTACACAGAGTTGGAGGGAGGGAAGGCCACTGACTGGAGTCTGTTATTTCTCCAAAAATATGAAGGCTATTATGTTTCAGAAATAAATGCTTTTCTAGAAAGTGGGAACCTAGAAACGTATTATTGAATTGACGTACGAGAATCCTCCTTGAGAAGCTGGTGGTGGCTCAGCTGGCTTAGAAATTCTCCCATCGGAAAACTTGTCCCAAGATATCTGCGAGCTTCGTTGACGGCTAGAAATTCACAAGCCGAAGTGTCATTTAGGCGTGTGTGCGGGTGGGATGGGAGATAAAGTGGCAACGCTATGACGTCATGCTCACCCCTTCCCCTGCTAAGCCGCTATTCCTCAGACCATTTCGCGGTGAGTGACGACCCATCCTAAAAGCATTCGTTCCACAACCACTGAACGAACAACAGACGACAGGCTTTCATGTGTTCTAATGGGTACAGCTTTAAGATTACCTCACAGTGGCACAGCGATTTAATCTAGAATATCAGTGAGTTGGACTCACTACACGCTAATCTTAACTGCTTGATGTTTTCAGTCTGTGTGTGTAGTAGTGTGAAACTATGCGCGTCACACTTCCCACCAATAGCAGCCCTCTAGTCCACCTGATAGTAAACATTCCTCCTGCCCCCGCCAGAAACGACTTACCACCGCAGGGCTTTTCTCTGGTTTATGGACGCAGCAGAAGCAGGAAGGGCAGTCTGTAGTGTTCGTTTAATAGTGCATTTGCTTTCGGTTCTGGTAAAGCGTCTTAGTTCTGTGCTATAGTTTCCTGGAGCAAAACAACAAAGTAAGCCTCTGGTGTGCAGACTTTTAAGTATACATTTCATTTAAAATAAAAATAACAAAACGTAATGCATGAGACTTCTTGGTTTGTCTGTGTGTGCGCGCGCGCATGTTTATCGAGAAGGGTCAATGCTCCCTGCTGAATGGCACCCCAGAAAATGTTTTAGATAAAACAGGCGACATGTTACTTACTCTGTCGCATGCATTCAAGTATAGTGAGGTTTTATTTGTATTTATCTGTGGTTTATCTGAGGATACTGCCAACTAGTTGGAATATACAGCACGAAATGTTAATGTTCTCTTCTAGCTCGAGAGCTGGAGTCTGTTACATCATACTCAGTATACTTAGAGGTACTACCCTTTGAGGATGTGGGTGCAATGGTGACAAGAGACCTGTTTAACATTATTGAAAATAAAATAGGCTGTTTTGCATCTCATTGACATTTTATGAAAGTTAATAATCTATTTTTAACTTTAAACTTACTGCCAAAACATATTTAAGAAGCTACAAGCAAAGCTGTGTTATTTAAACTAAAGAATTCAGATGTAATGAGATGCATGGCCTCTTAACTTTTAATTCTAAATTTTTCTGCTTTTCTATTTGGTTTGTTATTTTATGATTCTGTAGCTACAGCTTAGTGCCTCATCATGCATCAGATGATTTATGATAAATCACAAGGGATATAAAATTGACATGTCCTGTTTTGACATACCTCTTCTGCATTTGCCTGGGAAACTGAGAAAATCCATAAAAATGTCATTTAAATTCACTGTATATCTTTACAGTTATCTTAACATGTCTTCTCTGGAAAGCAGAAGAAGGAAGAAGATAGTGGCCAAAAGATTATTGAATCCGAGTGATCCATTTGAAGGCCCAGAAGGATCCCTTGTTTGGGGAAAATTGAGGAATTTCCCTTGGTGGCCAGGTATGTGTACATACATACATACATACGAGTCTGTTCCGTGATCCAATATGAAGGAAAAATGTTGTCCGTTTGAGATTTCCTTGGCCACTGAATGACTGACCGGGTGAGCGGTTGATGAGGAAATGTACAATTGCTGTAGTACGTGATTGTGAATGGTATGGCGAGGAAGAACTCAGACTAACGAAGGAACCTAGTGCAACCGTCCTTCCACACTCTCACTTTGATGTTTGTTTTGTTTACATCACTGGTCAAACCCAGTGACGTGCCAGGCGCTCGTGCGGTTGCAGCTTCGACTCTTTTTAGTAATTGCGGAAGGGAATTTTGGGTAATTTGGTAGTGGGCGGGGATTTAGGTCAGTGAGCATGGAACTCCAATTTCCAGGGAATATACGGGGGAAGGCAAGGGTAGGGTTGATGTTTTATGTGAGGAGCAATCTCGAGTAACAAACGACGCTACTGGTGTGCCTGGAGACATTCACTTTATTGTCCTTTGAGACTTTTGAAGACCAAATTGACTGTAAAGCTCTGTTTACTCCAGTTAGAATTTTACATATCTTCACATTGGAGTTTTGTCATAATATTATATTTTCTCAGTACCTACTGTTAGGATATCAATTTACCATCCCAGTTCAGTAAATACAAACTGTTACATTGCCATCATTAGACTAAATGAGCTGGTCCTATTAGTTCACCAACTATTCCAGCTCAAACATTAAGTGTGAACTGATGCCCCATTTATGTGAAATGGTATCGTTACAACACGATCTGTATATGTATCATATGTAATTAAGAATTAAAATGTCTACTGCATGTTCTATAATTATAAGGCCTTTCCTAAACAGGTGTAAGAAATGTAACTTACAAGAAAATACAATGTAGTTTGCATTATATTTTAAATTTCATGACTCCGTATGACTTTACTTGCTGTGGCGTTCACATTCACTGTATACACATTACTAACCAGTTAATATATTTATTATTCTTCATATTTTGCCATTTTGTGTGTTGAGCTCTGCAAGCAATATTTGCATTACAATTTTTCTCCATGCTGGACATAGAAAACCAATTTTAACTTTTATTTTAAAGAGTATTTTATAGGTGAATTTCAGTGATATGTAAGGTTATTGCTTGGAGAATAATATAAAAAATATGTTAATATATTGTTCACTACAAATTAAAGAATAATACGAAAAATGTTAGTGAACTTAATGCTTACACTTAGTGTTACATTGTTTGTGTTTCTTGTGACAGGTATAATAGTTGATGAACATGCTTGTGGCTTATCTTGTATCCCATCTGGCCAATTCTGCATCTTTTGGTTTGCAGACCGTCGTGTGTCTGGGGTAAGTAATTACTGGAGTCAATTTTCAAGATTCACAAATGTAAAATACTCTGCCAAATGTAAATCTTGGCTCCCAGCATTGACTATCCTGACAGGTTTTTCATGACTTTCCTTAGTTACTTCAGGAAAAAGCCTTTATATTACATTAAAGTGCACCACAACCACCTCCTTCTTCATATTTTCCAATTACCATACATAACGTGCTCTTCTTAATTAAAGCTAAACTATTTGAACATTTAAGATGATGTTCTTAAATAATCTGTTACATAACCAATATTTTGGATTCAAGGTTCTATGGTGATGAGTATGAAAATGACTGTCTTCTGAGTTTTAGTTCTGTGTACCGAATAATTCTCAATATTCAAGAGGATTGTTAGACTCTTGTACATCAACATTTAAACTGGGTTTATTACTACTGGATAACAGTGTCAATCAGCCCCTGCCATTTTCCATGTACCATGCTGAATGTCACTGTCATCATTTGCATTATCATCATCATCATCATCAAAGCTGTAACTTTGTTCACTACCAGAAAAAAATTCACAACCATGTCACTATAAAAATCACTATCATCACTCTCTGAATTAACACTAATTTCATATTCTTTCTGTACTTTATCACATATTTCTTCACCATCTTCATTGTCTTGATTCTGACAAGGGCTGAAACTTGGGACAAAAGAAAAAACACCTCCTTGCAATACTCAGAACTAAGGAAAAGGACTAATGAACATGGCACGTGTTTACATAGCTGTAAATTGTTGCATCTTCTGCTACCAATCAGAAGCTAAGGCGCAATATCTAGAAGCATTATACCCACTTGTAAAAGGTACGAGGCGCGTCCACAAAGTAAGTTTCCCACTCGTCCCACAGCTAGCAAACCTTATATTGCGCGAAGCGACTGTGCGTACGTGATATAGCAATGACGTAGCATGGCGCATGCACTAATGGCACCTCCCGCGTTCTCACAGTAGCATCGTTGCAGCTGTTGAAGATGGAGGTTCTTATTCCAGCTCCCGCCGACTGTGAAGTGCGGTCAGTGATAACGCTAGGCCGCACACGGCTCGACGGACAGCAAGTCTCCTGCAGGAGTTCAGCTGGGAGGTGTTTAATCATTCACCCTACAGCCCGGACCTCGCTCCCAGTGATTTCCATCTTTTCCTACACCTCAAGAAATTCCTGTCCGGTCAGCGTCAGCGTTTTGAGAATGACAGAGAGGCGGAGATGGTTGTCACACAGTGGTTCCAATCCCAGGCGGCAGACTTCTACGACACAGGTATTCAAAAGTTGGTCCCACGGTATGATAAATGTCTCAATTCCGGTGGCTAATGTGTTGAAAAATAGCTGGACACTTGCTGTATCTGTTGCAATAAATATTTCCATGAAATTGTGTTTTGTTTCTGTAAACAGCCCCAGGGAAACTTACTTTGTGGACGAGCCTCGTATTATATAACATGTGGAGATGTCATATAGCCAAGAAGAATGTTCAATTCTTGAATGTAAAAATCATCATGAAATACAGTCAAGATTTAGAATTAATTTTAAAGTAATTAAGAACAGCAATACATAAACTTATGCTTAAGTTTAATGGTTGTTTACAGGTACAAAATAAATGGATGAAAGACTTCAAGAAGCACTATGAGCAATGTTTCGACCCCACCGTAAAACAGGCGTTATATGTGTCTGGAGTAGAAGAAGCTGTGAAAGTGAGTGAAATCAATTTGATCAGTTTATGATGCAGTGTTCTTATATTTTTAGTTGGGTTATTTACAGAAAATTCTCTTTGCCATAAGAAGTAATAAACCAGATTTTAACCATTACAAACATTCTCCAGTTGGAGGTGGAAATAAAAATTCCAGTAGAAAATTCATTATTAGATTGTAACAACATCTTAGTGAACTCTTTTTGTGCTACAAAGTAGTAGAAGCAAAATAACTGAAATAAATAATTTTCAAAAATAAAAATAAAATGTTTCTTATTGTTACATGTACAGAAATTTTATATGAGTTCATGTTTTCGTGTTGAATTTATGTAGCTTTGTGCAAAACGTCTGGGTCATAACGCTGAGTCATGGACGAAAAAGGAAGCGTTGTGTTGGGCACAAGCTGGATTTCAACGCAGTGCTAACAGAAAAGTGGAAGGTAATTGTTAATGCAGTGATGATCCCAAGAATATATGAAAAAACACAGCTTGTTTACTTCTTAGACTGTAGTGTGTTACATTGAATTCTTAATTTTTCTCCCCGCATTTTTCACACAGTCTGTTCACTGTCTGCCAGAGTGTGAAAAGTGATGGACAAAGAAACCAAAAACTCACTCTTTAGGCTTTAAGCAGCATTAAACTAACCAAATAAGATAATTAACTCATCTCACATAGAAGTCATAAAATTAGTTGCTTGTTAACTTGTCCTGGTCTTCATCCTCCAAAAGTCTCTTTACAGGTTGCCCTTGGTTTCTCAATCCATGCGGTTTGTAATTTTTTGATGATTTTGGAAGTCTGTTCTTGTATTCTGTCAACATTTATCCAGAAGCTTTGATATTTTAAAATTTTCACTAATATAAGTTCTGGTTTCAGTTTCTTTAGTATGTCTTCACTTATTTCATAGTCTAAGTGCATTACACTGTTTTCATGAATTAGATTTTAGCAGCTACAATTCCGGTTCTGTCTTCTGCTTTCATTGTCCAGTTTTTACTTTCATGTAAAGTGTTAGCAAAGCTATTCATTTTTATTATCTCATGATCCTGCAGTTTTGTTGTTTTAAAATTGTGTTGAGAAGGCTTGTAACTTTTAAAAATATATAAATTTAACTTCTAAATGTTTTTCTCCTTCAAATGACACTGAAGTATCAGCGCATGCAGTATTTTATGTTGGATAATTTTGTCTTTCAGTATGCCAAATAATGGTAGTGGCAATTAAAATTACTGAAAACAAAAAATGATTTTTTTAAAATCATTCTGTTTCAGAAGTTACACCAATATTTGTGCCTGATGGAGTGCAAGATGACCTTTTGTTAATCAAACGTTGCAGAAAAAGTAATGAAAAGAATAATAAGTTATTAGAAAACTGTGGATCTTCATCAGAAGCCAGTTCTTCACAACCAAGTTTCCAGTATGGTAATGATCGTTTCTTATCCGTTGCTGTAGAAGAGTTTAGAATCTATATAAAAGGCATAGTGTAAGGTCCCTCATTTGTGCAAGAACCTTTACGACACTGAGCAGCAAAAGTGCTGCTCGGTACATGTTACAGCTTCTTGCAGAAATTGAAATGTCTCCACAGGATTGTAGTTAATGTTTCTATTACAAATGCTTTACACTCTTGAATAAATCTTAACTTATGCATGCTGTTTAAATCTTGATGATTGCTATATTCTTGGTTTTTGTGCCACATAGTCTGGTCATCAACTTGATGGAGGTGGCAAGCACCTCTAAATCATCAGTAAACTTCTATTAGACTAAGCAGCACAACCCAACAGACAGCCATCTTTACACTCACTGCTATGACATCAAATCTTACGGCTCAGCTCTTTTCCAGACATAAGGATAAATTATGTAATGCAATGCCCATGATAATGCATATCATGCTAAAACATAATGTATAATTGGATTTAAATTAATTGCTCTGATAGTGTATGGACAGAATAAACATATATGGTGTTATAAAGGGTTAAAAATTAGTAACACCTAGAGCAGAGACCTTGATAAGCTAATAGTTGTTGAGCTACTAACATTTCCGGCCATTTATGGAATTTGAATATTCGTTAAGATGCTTACGGCAAACCACTTGTTACTATCCTGACCCATGAATACCATCAGAATCTATTTTTAATCTTAGTCATATGTTTAAAAAACATTTAATTTTATTCTGGAGTCACTAAGCAATGACCAGCACTTCAAACATTTATGTAACTATCAAGGCCTTGAATCCTATAGCACTATTCTTCCTGAGAGAAATAGCACTAAAGCTGTCTTGCTACATGCCATGGAGGCTCTTGGGGGGAGAGAATCTAGCAAGTACTCAGTCTTGACTTTGGCACTAGATGGGTGCGAGTGGTCAGTGTCACACCCTGGCCATGCTTTACACCCGTTACCCAATGGATAGGAGGCTCGGTGGGTACCAGAGTTTGTCTGGATGCAGAAACTAGAATAAAAATCCTTTGCCCCCTTTTCTAGTGTTTGTTACACAGGAAATTAATCTGTACAGCAGACTGAGCACAAATTAAGTATTTAATGTCCCCTCTTACATTGTTCCCTTTTTACATAAAAAACATGCACTGTCACACTAGGATTTGAGGTGTTCACATTGGTGATTATGAAGATGGCTGTAGTCTGCTAGAAGTTTACCAACGCTTCAGAGGTCCTTGCTGCCTCGATAATCTGGGCGATGAAATTATCACAATTTCCATTACTTTTCCAGATGATTTGAAGAAAGTGAAGAAAGGTGAAATGGACATAGAAAAACTATGTCTTAGGTGCAGATCTTCAAAAGTACAAATTGTTGGAGAACACCCATATTTTAAAGGTTCACTTTGCAAGATCTGTATGGTGAGAGACGTTATTTACACAAAATTAGATTGACTAGTACAGCTCAATTTTTTGAATCACATGATGCATCCATTACAACCACATTACATGTTTTTTTTCAAAAGGAGTTAAACTCAAATTCTGTTCTGTGACCGCAATTTATTTATATTTCTGTATAGTCATGGCATGTTTTTATTAATTTAAAATTAATCAAGGTTATAAGAAGCAGCAGAATATTAATATTTTTTTACTCTTTGTGACATTAGAATGTTATAAGAGTAGTATAGAATGTTTACAAAACATTCAAAATGTATTTCTGTTAACATTGTAAAGTTTTGCTTATGAACATTTACTTGCATAATTTTGACACACCTACTTTTAGAAAATAAATTATGAAAGAATTAACCTTTATTGTCCACGCAACATATTTTACATGTGGTCCAAATAGCTACTAGCATAACACTAAACTGTTAAACCCAAAGCTGAAGTCCAGTTGGCCCGAAAACTGCAAGCGCTAATCCAGACACTTGTTAAGGTTTCTAAGGTAATGGAAACAAACAGTTTCATTCTAAAGACTTGCAAAATTTTTGTTATTACAGTATTATTTTCTTTAATACATACTTTTCTTTCTAAACCTGAAAGATAACATGAAGGTGCAGAAAAGGCGGTATCTTCAGCAATGTGCAATGTCAGTCATAAATCGCTTGAAAGAAAAGAATGCATTTGTGATGTAAGTCACAGTACTGTTGTAGGTCAATCTAAGCAGACAGTACATACCTTTTCCTAAGAGCAGGTGCTAACGTTGATCAGTGTTTGTATGCTTTTGTATGTCAAAACTTTGCTCCTGCACTTCTATCAGTCAAGAAGGAGAAGTTCCTAGTCAATACATGTAAACGGAAATTCTTGAAAACACGAAAACAGATGGTGCATTTACAGTATTTATTTTTCAAAATTGTATTTAAGACTTGGTCAATTTTAGTGCATGACACATAAATGTTTAATTTGTTTCAGGAAACAGTAAAAGAACATATCTTTACATTTGGTGCTGATGGCATACATGTAAGTGACATTGTATTAATAATGTATGTAGTTCCACGTTACCTCACTTGCTTTTCTATAAATCCTGTGCACTAACAAATACAATTATCTTACTTAAAATTTTAGGCAAATTATTTATTTAATTTCCCAACTATGCTGTCAGCTATGACTGATGTTTAGCATTGAAATAAGTATGTCTACTGTATGATTGTTTGTTTGTCATCAGTCTTTCGACTGGTTTGATGCGGTCCTCCATTTTAGCCTATCTTGCGCCAATCTCTTCATTTCCACATATTGTTTACAGCCCACATCCTCAAAAATCTGCGTCACATATTCCAGTTCCCCCTACAATTCTTCCCTTCAACTGTTCCTTCCATTACCAAATTAACCAATCCAGGGTGCCTCAGAATGTGTCCCACTATCCTATCTCTTCTTCTGGTAAGATTTTTCCATAGACTTTTCCTTTGCCTATCCTAAGACCAGCTCATTTCATACTTTATCAGTCCACTTAATTTTCAACATCCTTCTATAGTGCCACATTTCAAATGCTTCTATCCTTCTTCTTTCTGGCTTTCCCACTGTCCATGTTTTGCTTCCATATAGCGCTGTGCTCCAAACACATAACTTCAGAAAAATCTTTCTTAATTCGAGGTCAATGTTTGATACTAGTAGACTTCTCTTTTTGAAGAAGGCTCTTTTTGCGTGTGCTAATCTGCTTTTAATGTCTTCCTTGCTTCATCCATCTTTGGTGATTTTGCTTCCTAAATAACAGAATTCCTTCACTACTCCTTCCACTGTGTCTTTCCCAATTTTGATAATTAATTGATCATTATTCTCATTTCTGCTGCTCCTCATAACTTTTGTCTTGATTTTGTTTGTTCTTAAGCCGAATTGCTCACTGAGTAATCTATTCATACCATTAAATAATTT